TAATTCTTCATGTTAAATTAGCTTCGCATATATAATATTTATATCCATATTTATGTGTGCTGTATTTTTATGAAATAAATGTATTAAAAATTTGCTGCTAATTAATAAAAATTTGGCCCCTGATAAATAAATAAAAGTTTTAACGTTATGTATAAGTCGTGAGACCAATTCTGGGACTGAAAGACGTACCGACCGGACTGAAAAACATTATAAAATCGGTCCAATAAGGACTGGGACGGACTGATCCATCCCTAGTACGTATAGACCAATTTCACTACAATTAGGATTGTCTTGATTTATAGTTATTGCTGGCTAGATGTAGAGATGGTGATTGACAAATTCTGCGAAAGATGTTATTATATAATAAAAATTACAAATATTAATACTGTATATAAAATTTATTAAATGAATATTGAAATAATAAATATAGTCAACTCTTTCTATAATGAACTGATGATTCTGAACTATAGTTGTTAGAAAGACGAAACCTTAAACTTAAAATGACGAAACCTTACGCTCAAAAAGACGAAATCCTAGCTAGTGCACCCGCTAAAAAAAAAAAAAAAAAACATAAAAAGAAAACAATTTGTATTTTCATTGAATAACGTTCATAGTTTATTCAGAGGTTAGTATCGGAAATTACATGTATGGCAGCAAAAATAAATCAGTTTATTTTTTCTGAAGAATGCTAGAGTTGTTATAGACTGGTTGAAATAACCTTGTCAAAAAGCCATAGTACTCATGAAATAACACAAGTGACGAATTAAAACATACTGGCACAAAATAAATTGTAAGATCACAAAGTAAGCACCAAGCAATTTCTCACTAGAACTGATATGTAGTGTTCTAGTATAATACAATATAGAATACTCCCTTTAAACAATTCAAGCGCCTAAAATTTTTGTAATTGTTATAAATTTCTGGTTTTATTTTTTGGCAATTGCTAATTTTAACCGGAGGGAAATCACCAGGGGTGCTATATCTCAAAAACGTACTAAGTAAACGGGATTGGGTACTCTAAGTAAAAATGTTTAGGACCCCTGAAAACCTCACAAAAACTGAGATTGGGACCTTATATTAGTTCTACATTATATTATATTAAAAAAAATAATTCTCAATACCCGCACCCTAACCCTATAAATAATTAGGGGAGGGGATTTCCCCCGGTTAAATGTAGTTATTTTCTTATTTTTTATACACATAATCTTCAATGATTTCAACATTTATTTGTATATTCGTCTATTAGTTTTTTATCACTCTTTACAATTTCGTCAGTTTCGTCATTTCGTATAAAAATAACTTTTCCGATTTTTTTTTATCGAAAATCATATTAAAGTTACAAAATCTTGAAAGTTGCCGTTATTTTATATAAAGAAAAGAAAATATAGAATATTAATCCTATTCTTTTGAAGTTTTATGATCTCAGAATTTCAAAACATAAATGAAATTATTCTTTTTAAACTCTCACCTATTTTCGAAATAAGTTAATTTTGAAACCCTTAATATAGAAAATATTAAAGCTACGATTTATGAAATTTCATTATAAATTTAGAAAGTAATTACAGTATATATAGATTCTATTTCGAGGAGTTATTAATTTGAATATATTAATTGATAAAGACCAACGCGATCAATATCTCAAATAATTTACCTGCTATATTGTCAATTCGAAAGAGATTTTGCTATTAATTATCAGGAAGTCGATTTAGATAATTAGATAAGCAACGAAACAAATGAAATAAAGAAAATTCAATAGATAAGAAGTTTTCACTTCACTCCAGTAAACTCTAGTAAATTACAACTTAAAAAACATAAAACAGGCGATTTCTTTAATATTAAACTAGTTTGTGTTTATTTATTGTGGCAGATTAAAATGAAATTATTCTATTTTTTTAGGAAAATTTAAAATTTTTTGGGGGACATTTTTTAGGGTTAGGGTTAGCGTTAAAGTTAGGGTTTAGAGTTAGTTTTATTAATAAAAGAGTATAAGTGGGTTTTATAAGCTTTAAAGATGAGCAAGAAAGGTCCCTAGTTTCATTTTAATCCGATTTCATTATGATCTGCCACATTTAAGGTTTTAAATAAAACTTTAATGATCATAATAGAAATAAAAAATGAACGAATAAGAAAATAAATTTTAAAAAAGTAAAAGATAAAAATTTAAAATAAAAAGTAAAAAAATAAAATTTAAATAGAATAATAATCAAGATTAGGTGTATAACTATTTCAATACCGCATTAGACAAGTGTGTAATCAGTATTTGAATCGGAAAGAGGAATATTGGACTTTTCTATTTCGTAATTTAATGCACCTTGTATATTAACATTACCAGAAATTTTAACCAAAACATTTTTTTCCTTTGTGCCAATAATTTTTCCTTTGAAACCAGAATTTCTTAAAAAAGCTATCACAGCATTGACATCAACTTGTTCCATTTTTGCTATAGTTCCATTTTTTCTTAAACGATCAGAAAATCCTTTAATTTTCGCTGTTGCTGTAAATGGAATATCTAAATTAATTTTGTGCCAAATTATTTTAACCACAATTTCTTCTTCTTTTTGGATTTTTATCGAATATTTCCCAGAAATATTAGTCTCATCTAATTTTAATTTCTTAATAGCTTCTAGAGATGTTGTTTTATTATCCCACGTGATTATTTCATGAGAATTTCCTTTAACACCTGCATATTCTGCTTTTATATAAACGTCAAGTTTATTTAGAAAAGTTATCTCCTCACTTTTATTAAAAGACCAAGATGTAATATTTGGTGTTTTCTCCGATAGAGTAATTTCTGTCTTCCAAGGACTACTATACGATTTATTTCTTGAGGTGTAAATAATTGAAGAAACTTTAGTTGTATATGAATCTAAATCATTAATCTTTTTATCATATTTAAAATTTTCAATCTCAGCTTTGAGTTCATAATCAGCAAGTTCGAACTTCCATTGCTGTCTTGAATAAAGAGGATCGTTTAAACTATTAAGATAAGAAGAGAAACGAACTGTTGAATATACACCCCAATTATCTAAATAACATTTATTTGAGTGATTTTGTATTTGTACTTTTTCAGGTTCAGAATCATTCTGATTTAAAAAAGACCATAACTGCCTCGAATACCAAGGACTATCATGATGATTTTTACAACTCATGCGAGATTCTGATTCATGTCCACCATCAAATGTATCTAAATAACTTCCATTACTTGAGATTCTATATTTTCTTTTCTTTATATAAAATAACGGCAACTTTCA